GAGAGAGAGAGAGAGAGAGAGAGAGAGAGAGAGAGAGAGAGAGAGAATCAGGTCAAGAAGCCCTTTTCCCTCTTCCTGTGGTGAAAGGTCGCGATGTGTGGTATTTCACGGTTTTATATAAATCTTGGTTTAGGATGTGGAACAGACTCAATAATACATGTGCTTTTGGCAAACAGATTCCTTGAGAACCCCATAAATCAGAAGTAAGCCCAAGCGAACAACAATTCAGAAACATTTAATTGCTCTAAAAACCGGGCTCTCCACTCCTTTAAAGAGGGAATCGTGTAAATTCCCTGTTTATATCTTTAAGGTTTGAACTCAAAGTATAAAGCAGGTTATTATATTACAGCGGGCTGCCCTCGGTGACTGAAAGGGAAGGCTCCTGCACCCTTCAATCCCGCATACCTCGGGCACTAGACACATCGTATACTTTCTGCCTTGTGCCGCTAAGAAATCTAAAGCCTGTCAGAGGCGAAAGAAAACACTAGGGATGCGGGTCGCCGGTACAGGCTGTGTAGAAAAGATTTAACCAATCCCACGTGTACCACAGCGATTCGGGCTATTTTTGAGGCCCGAATTTCGTTTAAGACTGGGACTGGGTCGAAAATATGCAAGGTCTGCGAGCAACCTGGGTACAAGCGAAGGGAAACCCGGAGCCGGGGAGACAGAGCCAGTAAAAGAGTCCCCTCCTCCAGAGCTGGGTAGTGGGAGCCTGCCTCCAGCCGAGGGGTGGGGGTGCTTGTGGGTGAGGAGCAGGGTGGCTGCGGGCAGATCCTCTAGGGTGGTGCACTTGCCAGCTGTGTCTCCAAGCTCTGCCCTCAGGGTGTGCCTTCCCTGAGGGCTGGAGAACTCAAGGTTGGCCAGACCCCAGTGGCCAGTGGGGGCGCTGGAACTAGGAGGTGGGGGAGGGCGCCGGGAGGGGGTGGCTGAGTAGTCCTAAAGGTCCCTCTTTGGGAACAACGTGAAGCAAGGAGCAAAGCGGGAGTGTAGAGCAGTTTCCAGCAGGCACCCAGGAGAATTCGGGCTGGAGAGTCCTAGATACTGACTAGTGTGGAGACGGCACGGAGCCACAACGTCGGGCCTAGGCGCGCGGTGGGTGGAACTCTGAACCGCAGTGCCCGGACACCGCGAGCCACTAGGCGTCCGGTGCGATCAAAGGAGCCACGGGAGGCTAGCCGGCGCGCCTGGGGTTGTGGTATAAGGGGCGGGAGAGATACTGTTCTGGCCATTGTCATTGGGAGGGGTTGCGAGTACATCTTTGCCTGTGGGTCAAAGCTCTCCTATGCAAGGCCGAACCCTGGGTGGATCCGATTGGGAGTGGACTGGCTCCCGGGTAGGTGCCCGACTCGAGGGAAAGAGCAAGCAAAGGAGTGAGATCAAGGGCAGCGAGGCCTGCGGGTTCTTCAGTGTGTGTGTCTCAGGCCCTGTGGCTCAGCACTGGAGCCGCCTGGCACCCACAGGAATGCAGCTTCCCTCGGATCCCCACGCCGCCTCTTGTCCCACAAGGAGGTGGCCGCCAGGAAAAGGGAGGGAGGGGGGAGAACGGGAGTAAAAACCCGCCTAACCCAACCCAAGTCTCAAACAAAGGCCAATTTATCTGATCTTCCACAGGAGGGCCCGGGAGGCGAGCAGGGCACCGAAAAAAAAAAAAAAATCACTCAAGCCCTGCCAACATGGGTCTCCTGAGCTTTGCAGGGAGGTCTGAAGATGGAAATTGAAAGTATTGGGTGGAGGTGGGGGTCCACTGTAAAGAAAATTAATTCCGAAGTTGGCTTGATTCATTTCGGGGATATTAGGCAGAGAAGCAGGCAAGTGAGGAACGGAAAGGCCAGACACACGCGACTCCTAGTGTGAGGTCCAGGGAGAGTGGGGTCTGCCAGAGCCAAAATATTGTGAGGAGTGATAGGCGCGTGTTAGATACAGGGAGAAACAATGGGAAGCAAAGGAAGGTGGGAGGGAGGGCACGAGAAGCAGATATTTTTAGACTTTGCTGTGGATCTGTTATTTTTACATCCTTGGGCGAAGGACTGCAGGGAGTTAAATTCCCTGGAGAGAAACCCCGTGGTGCCAGAAAAGCCCGTTGCGACTCACTTGCCAGAATACTTTTGTTCACCGCTCCCCAACCAAGTTAAAAAAAAAAAAAAACGCTCCAGACAAGAGACCTTTACTAGTGGAGCAAGTGAGGTTCGCAAAAGAGGAGGAACCTCTCTGAAACTAATCATCCCCAACCTCTCTTCCCGCTTCCACTGGTGCCGCCGCGCTCCAAACAAACTGCGTTTAGTGTCCTTAACAACTAGCAATGCCCCAGCTTGGGGTGGAGGGCGGTGATGAAGAGCATTCTCTCTCTTTTCCCCTGAGAATCATCTGGACCCGCCCTTCCCTCCGCTTGGCTGAGTCCGGTGGTCAGAACAGTGAAGAAACCGTAGCCAGGAATGGGAGCCGGGAGATGACATCCACCCTCTCCAAGTGTCAAAATGGAAAGAGCATGTTCCAAGCACATTTTTGACACTCTTGGGAAACCAGTGGGCGGGAAATATTGGGGGTGTGCGGTGGGTGTGCCCCTGCCAACCTTCCCAAACACACACCCTCGGGTGGGGACCGAAGCGTGGCCATCCAAAAGCCAGGTCCTGGAAATCAAGATCAAGTCTTCAGAAAGCTCCAGGCTTTTAATGTAAGGGAAACTAAACTACAAAAATCTTTGCAAGCAAAGAAAGAAAAGGAAAAAATGGACGCCTTCATCTCTTTTCCCATTCTACTCGGCCACTGTAGAAAACAGAATGGGTCTGCTCCCCTAACATCGTCACCAACCACAGGAGGAGTGCACTGAGGACAGGGAAAAAAAATTGGAGATAAATTGGAGATGCATTCCTGTTTAGTCAGGGTTTAATAGCTCAGGCTGCCTGAATGTATATGGCCCAGGGAGTTCCAAGCTGGTGGGCCTTGTAGAGAGGAAGGAAAATAAAGAGGAAGGGAGAAAAAAAATGGAGAAAGAAGGAAGAAAGGATGAAAAGAAAGAAAGAAGGAAGGAAGGAAGGAAGGAAGGAAGGAAGGAAGGAAGGAGAGATTAGCGAGACAGACTGACTCTATAAATGGCCCAGGGGCACACAGCTTGCCTCTTTGGTTCTCACTGCTGGCAGGGTCCTCTCTGAAATCCTCAGATGACAGGATGAATTTTTTTATGTCCTAATCTCTCCTCCCCAAGAGGACACCAAAGGATTTAGGTGAACTAAAGGATAGCCAGCCACAAAGACACCTATAATTCAGGCCTGGGGGCGGGGAGGGCTGTACACAGAGCTCCAGAGCCCAGGCCCAGGCTATAGCTCTGGGCACAGTCTAGATGTCCACACACAGAGGTGTAAGGGAAGAGCTAGTCAGGGGCCAGGTTGCTGCAACTCCTGCACCCCAGCCTTAAAGATGGCTTCACAGAGAAATCCCAGCAAGCATCCCATTTCCTACGGTTGAGAACTAGCTTTGCATCCGTTTTGTGTAAAAGCAGAGCAGGAACCCCTCCTGAAAGCGCCACCAAATATAGATGGCAAAGAAGGACAATTATGTTAAGAACATTATTTCACACGAAATGAAATCAATATAGGGCCTTAACTGCCCCTCCCAAAGTCCCTTCTTTATTTATTTATTTTTCAAAGAAAAAGGAATGTTCCCTGCCCCCATAGTCCTCGCTTGCCCTAGTGCTTTAGGCTCACCATTGTTCTCAGTCCCTATGGCAATTTATATAGTCGAACACATCAGGACTCTGAGGTGTAAGGTTGTACTTGCCATAGCCAACATTCAGATTTTTGAAAAATATAATTGGAACGAGAGGAGATTTCCTTTCCTTTCTCATCTTGGGATTCTCATTTTCTAAAGGACCATAATTTGTCTAATTGCAATACACTTGCTGTTGGAGGAGGGAGTTCCCCACCAGAATCATTTTGAACTTAGAATTCCAGGTTACTGAGGGATTTCTGCTGCCTGCTTCCTTACATACAGGGCAATAGAAATGTATTTAGATTGCAATAAGCCTTTCTACCCAAAACAATTGAAGTTATATTTAATATCATTTAAATGGGTTTGTGGTTAGGAAGCAAAACAAAACAAAACACCCTAAAGATGACAGTACTATAAACAGACCGCATGTGCAGACAGATAAACAGAACACAACGTCCAGCACAAACACACGTCTGCCTCCTGCAGCTCCTGATTCCTGCTTCGCATTGTTGGATTTCTGAATAATTTGTTCTTAATCGCCTGCATAGAGCCTCACTAGTCAATTATGGAGGGGCCAAAGAGGAACAGTTTTCATGGTCGAAATAATTTTATTTATCCAGAATATACAGTTTAATTCCTCTATCTACACTTATTTACACGGTTAAAATAACATTGAAAAAAGTCTCTTGAAAAGTTGAGGTCATAGATTTCAAGGCACCATTGATAGTGTCCACAGTTGCGCAAAAAAAAAAAAAAAGGTTCTTTTCGTAAAAAATGGGGAGGGGGGTCCTTTGAAATGCAATAACTTACATGCAAAAAAAGCTTTACACATGATTTTTTTTGTTGTTGCTTCCATTTTCCAAACATCCCCGTATGAATTCCTGTCTTTCTGATTTCTAAAACAGCAAAACACTGTAGTCCCAAAATTGAGCAAGAAGGAGAGAGCAAGCAGCCCTTCTAATAGAGCGTCCCGGAGGCCAGGGCCAGCGGGTGCTGCAAGGAGCCCGGTGGCGGCAGGTGGGAATTGATTGAGCTGGCTGCGCTTGGGTACCAGGAAGCCGAGTTCTCCAGGTAGCTGGACGCGGGGGACTGGTTGGAGGTCGGAGGGTGGGCATGAGGGTGGTGGCTGAGAGAGCGGGTTGAGCCCTGGGGCTCCCATACCGCTGGTGACTGTGGCGAGTTACACGCCATAGGGTCGCTGGAGCTGGGACTGTGCTCCGGGGGCATCTCCCCGTTTTTCATGATCTTCTTGATCTTGGATCTTTTGTTCTGAAACCAGATTTTCACCTGGGTGGGGGAACAAAGGCACACGTTACCGGGACATTCAGAGGATGCCCGCGCCTTTCCCTCCTTTCCCTGGGCGGTGAACGAAGACTCTTCTGGCCCCTAGACTACCCGGTCCCGGCTTCTCCCAGCAGCTGTCCACCTATGCCTCGACGCAGCAGCCTCGGTCTACACAGGGAGTGGGGTCCACAGAAAGCCCTGGTCAGATCAGCGGCACCCGGCTTCAGCTAGGGTGCGACCCCAAGGTTCGACTTTTATTCTCTCTGGACTTGAGTACACAGGTGGACCTGTGCACCAGTGCACCGGGGAGGGGGCGGCACCGGGAAGGGGGTGGCCACCCTCTCCTCCTCGAAGGTTAGAGCACCCTCCCCCCCCCCGGGAGGGAGGGGCGTGGACCAGACTGAAGGCGCTGTGTGCCAAGGGAAAGGAGATTTCCCAATCTTAAGCCCGACTCTCTTCACTCCCCTAGGCACTGGGAGGCCAGACTCTGCCTGAAGCTCTGGGCGGCGGCTTGAACATTCTTTATTCTAGGCCCCAGCCGGTTGGAGTGGGAGGGAAAAGAAGGGTACAATCCAGGAGGGTTTTCCCGTGCAATAGCGCCCCCCATTTCGCGACCCTCAGGCTGCTGCGGCTTCCAGCTGCCTCAGGGATAGAACAAGACCCGGACACAACAATTCAGGCCTTTGCACGACTCGAGACCACCACCAGGCCACTATTCCTGGAAGCTTCTCATTGTGAAGAGACCCAGACATTTCTTCAAAACGCGCGCAAGACATCCCCCCGCCCCCACAAATGCCTCTCCCTTGTTTTCACACTGAAACATTGGTCCCCAGCCCTCGGTGGCTAAAAGGGGGGGGGGCAACTCCGGATAAACGACAAATCCCGCGCCCACAGCCACGTGTCGTTAACAGCAGGCCTGGCTCACGGAGGGAAGGGTGCAAGGGATAGTGTCTGTCTATCTGTGAGTGTCTGCAGAGTTCTAGGGAATCGGCTCCAGCCAGTCGGCACCGAACCACGCGGCCCAGCCTGGCTTGCAGGCCAGGCGGGGCCGGTACCCGGCGGCGGCCGGATTTACCTGTGTTTGCGTCAGTCCTAGAGAGGCAGCCAACTCGGCGCGTTCTGGCAGGGCGAGGTACTGAGTCTTCTGAAACCTTCTCTGTAATGCGGCCAGCTGAAAGCTGGAATAAATAGTCCTGGGTTTACGAACTTTCTTTGGTTTACCATTCACCATCCTCACTTCTGGCTCCGCCACTTCTTTCTCTAAATAATCAAAACAGACTAGGTTAGAGCTTTTGGGCAGACAACGGCTCTTTTGCATGGGCCCTCAACTCACTGAGGTTTTGTTTGATTTTAAGTATGTAATCTTCACTCTCTTTCCCAACCTCGACTTTTCAAACCTCAATGAAACCAATCCCTTCCCCAAATCATACACAGAAGAGCTACTGAGTGCTGAGAGGTACCTCGTACGCAATCAGCTGCTTCTTCGTTTGGGAGATGGAACCCTTCAGAGATGCTTACTTCTCCCTGACATCCCTCCCTCCTCCCCCTCCCCCGCATTCACCCTGGGCTCCCTGGAGTTTCTGGGACTTGAATACCCACTCCATTCTCAGGGCACCAAGTGAGGAGGCCCTGGGCCATGACCCCGCTTCTGTCGGCGTCTGTTCGGGCGCCCGCAGAGGCTAGACGCTTGGTCAGGGAAGATGCTAGCCAAGGTCTCTAAAGTTCAAAGACCGACCAGAAAACTATGTTCCTTCACTACAGCGGCAAGCGGTCCGTCGGGGCCGTGTCAGACAGAGAACCGATTATGCAGCCCCCATAATCTCACTGCAGATCTGCGAGGGCACAGATGTGTCTGGTTTCTTTTACAAATAGACTTAATATGTTCTTGGCAAAAAAAAAATCTTCCCCTTATGCATGAATACAGAGACAGCAAGAGGAACAGACTCAAAGTTCAATCAGATACACTGAAAAAATATTGTAGGGAAGATATTTTCGTAGTAAAGGGGAGAGAGCTGGGAAGAATCCTCACTGTTACACACGTACATCGCTGGGGGGCTGCCTCTGAACCAGTGTTTCGCAAACATGCCTCTCGACCACATGGCCCCTTCCCCCTCGCAAAGCACTAGGAGCTGGAAGGAGCGGGAGAGCCTGTGTGTGTGTGTGTGTGTGTGTGTGTGTGTGTGTGTGTGTGTGTGAAGCAGCTGCCAGAGGAAGAGTGGAGGGTGAGGGCTGTGGTCTCCACTCTGCTGGAGTAGGGGATGCTAATATTAGCAGGCTTATTAATGTGTTGGTGAGGAGAGATCAAAATCGACCAGTAAAACGTCTCCACCGAGACTTCACGCCTCTCATTTACCTCCCAAGCTCACTACCCCCCTGTAACTCTGAGGAAGTTTCAAGGTGGAGGGAAGAAAGAAGGCTCGAGGAAGGAGGAGGCAGGCAAATTCTAGGCACCTAAGGAGAGAGTGAGGGCGGAAAAATTCCTCTAACAACGTGACCTCTTTGCAACCCTCCGATATTTTAAATGGCTTTTTTGTGTTTGGAAATGCCTTGGCTAAACCGCAAAGTTCCCTGCTTGCCCTTCTCAGTCAGGCTGCAGACCTCAGGCCCGCAGGCCACCCGGTGCGCAGCCGGCACCCGCACTGCGAGGCCTCGGGGCGCTTCTCGGGCTAATCCAAACTAGACCTCACCAACTCAGCACGCTCACCCAGAATTTCAACTAACTTTCCTTTTATTACGCAAACACCGCTGGGGCTGTTTCATTCCGCACCCCCCCCCCCCACGCCCCGCCACTTCTTTCCACCCTACCTGGCTTTCTAGCTAGGCAATTTAAGAATCCAGCTAAGGAGGGACTCCTGAGGGGCGCGGGAGGGATAACCTTCGACTCCAAGGTTCCTTCATTGAAACCCCCCAAATTTCCTGGTGAAATGCTCTTCTGTTTGCAGTTCCGGACCCCCATTCCCTTCGGCCGAGCGTGCTTTCTAGTGGTGCCGAGAGCGTGGCCCTCGTCTACCACCCCCACCTCATGCCCGCCGGGTGACGATGCCCTGGGTACCTGCCTCCCGCCCCCGCGCGTCTACCTGGCTGGCTGGTGGCACTCGGGACGCGGTTGTAGGCGCCGCCGTACTGATGGTAGGGGCTGGCGTAGCTGTAGTCGGCGTAAGCCTTGGGCGGGTAGCCGGCTGCGGAGCCGTTCACGCCGTGGTACTGGTATTGGTAGGGGTTGAGCGCTTTGCCGTAGGAAGCAGAGGTAGGAGAGCAGTAGCCGTGCGGGGCGGCCCCCGCGGGACTGTAGTAGTCAGAATCGGTGGCCGACGACTCGGGCAAAGTTGGCGATTCCTGAGACGGATGGTGCATGGCGGCAGACGTCGGGAACGGAGCTTGGAAGTCGCCGGATCGGATGCTGGGGACCCTTCTGTCAAACACTCCTGTCATAGCTCCCGGGCGGTGACTGTCTTTCTGCTTCGGCGGCCGCTGCTGCCTGAATTGGCTGAGGAGCTGCTCTGGTCTAAGCAGACATGGCTGTGGGAGCGAGGGAGGAGGAGGAGGAAGAGGAGGAGGCGGCGGCGGGGAGGAGGAGGCTGGGAGTCGTGGAGGCTGTGTCTCCCGCAGGCTGACTGCTGGCTGAGGCGCAGCACAGCCTTGGTTAAATCCTTAATTGCGCGCTTACGCACAGCGGGGTGGATCGGGTTCCATTGGCCAGGGCCTCGGGAGCAGAGCAACACCCTAACTCGTCCAACTAGTTTTAGCACAACAAAGCATTGCTTAAAAAAAGAGAAGGGGGGGGGTTGGTTGTTGGTAGTGGTACAGGGATTGTGTGTGTGTGTGTGGGGGGGGGCGCTATACAGTTGTTGTCTATTGGGGAGGGAGGGTCTCATTCAATCTGTTTTTAGTGAATAGCACAGACAACCCAAGAAACCCCAGGATCCAGCTCTGAGCTCCTTGAAGACAATGTGTTCCATCGAGTAGCCTCAAAAGTACACGTTTCGATGATGAGGTCCATGATGCTCTTTTCTTGCTCTGCCTGTCCTCGCCGGTCCACCAAAGGAGAGTCCAACTGGACCCTGATATGGGAATGATTGTCAAGGAGAAAGAGGAGCGTTAGATGAAGGACAATACTGTTTCAGTGGGATGATGGGAAGCAAGTTGTAACTAAGTTGTGTTGAAAATTTGGAAATTGGAAAACAGATTGATGGGTAGCAAGCGCTTCTGCAGAAGACTGTTTCTCTGGACTCTAGAGATGCTCAAGAGTGCGTATGTCCATTTAACCGTCAGCGGCAGGCTTCCTGCAACTGAAGTCTTCACTAGGACTGCTAAAAATCAACGTCTTATTTCTGATTCCCAAATAACTTGGCATTGCCTAACCTTTGTAGCTTGCTTTCCAGAAAAGCTGAGCAGCCCTACTTTTGTTCAATAGCCTCGTCTCCTTGGAAGCTTCTAGAATGGAGTATGTCTCAGTTCAGTAGTTAGATTGTTGGAAAAGTGAATTGATTCAGGTAGGTGACCTATAGTGTCTCCATACCAAAAGGGAATGCAAAGACCAAGAAAACAGACAGGGAACAAAGTCCTCTAAGGAGGTGGGATTATATCCACTGATGACCCTTTGCTGGTCCTATCGCCTACACACATTTCATATCCCTCTCAATTCCCTAGTTTGGGTCCCTGTACATTTCCCCTTTATTTCTTCTTAGCGAGCATCTTGGCTTATATAGAAAGGGCGACAGAGCTCCAGATTCGTACATTTGGCCCAGGCCACCAAAGAAGTTTATTGCGTCATCATCCCACGCTTCTCCTCCAGTTATGATTGAGTGAGGGCTTGGGAACGCATCCTGATCCTCTCTCCTGCCACATCTCCACTCTCCTCAGAGATGTAACTCCACGAGTTGTAGCCTGGTTTGGGCCTCCTTCTGTCTTCCTCTTGGGGTCCATGGCCAGGAACCTAGGGGTGCCATTGATTATTCAGGGTGGTATCTTCTGGCTCCTCATTCCCTTCTGCCAGTGGAAGAAGAAAAGCCTGTCTGAGTTTTGTCTAATGTTACTTATTTTGGCTACAGAACTACCAGGGCTCAAGTGCTCTGTCAGAGACCTGGAAGAATGGCGGTAGTCCCTCTCTGGAATCTGGAGCTCCATCTGGAGGCAGCAACACATGCATCAACTCCCAGTCATTGCCTCTTGGGCTCCATAAAAACCACAGCTACTGTTGCTTTTCCTTGGCTGGACAACTTCAGCTTTTCTGAGCTTGAGGGGACTAGCACTCAGCAGCGCCACCCCTTCCTACATCTTGGGTCTCTGTTGGCAGTCTTGGTGTCCCTAGATTTTCCTTTGGATACTGATGGGGCGGGGGTCAACAATGCCTGCTGTCCCTCGGTCCTGATCCCATGTGGTTGGTTTTTATGTTGTTGTCGATGTTCTAGACCTAGGCTGTGAGTGTCTTCAGGGAGGCAAAGGTACCGCTGATCTTGTTGGATGTGACCGTGGCCTGCTCTGGAGATGCTCACCTTGCCCATGGAGTCACCTTAGACACACGGAGCCTAATTGCACAAATCTCTCTTCCAAAGACCTGAGGATGGTCAAAGTGTTTGCAAGTAAAGAAAAATAGCACACAGAGAGGGGTGGTCCCTCCACTGCCCCCAGTTCTGTTTAGTAGAGATTTAAATGTGGTAACCAAGGGAGAAATAAGGTCTACTGACGACCTTATCATCAACTAGATGACTCCATCAGGGCTCTCACAGCTTCCTGAGAAGGGAACACATTCCATGAGACTGGTACTGGAAACTTCAGACATACCTCAGGATCTGCTGGAAGGCAAGGTTATAGTGATAAGATAATTCTAGATCTAGCTAAAATTCACTTGCTGCCCCCTCTTTTCAGTGGAGATACACATTCACACACACACACACACACACACACCTTTTTATGGACATCCAAAAAAAAAAAAAAAAGAGTGGGCACCGAAAAAGACCCAAGGTGCTGAAACATTGGCCTGTATGCAGCTACGAGCCCTTGCAGCAAGTCCAGTTCAGTGTGAAGTCACCAAATTTGGTGCCTCTTTGAAATTCACCAGTCCCAACTCTCTTGACTGCTTCTCTGAGTTGAGCTCCTGTTCCCTTACCACCTTTTCTTCAATGCAGCCACGAGAGGGTCACTGTAGACAGCCTGGCACCATCTGTGAGTCTGGTACCTGTAGTAGTGATGGGACTCTATCGCTTCTCAAATCCCAGCTGACCCGACCGCGCAGAAACAATTCCATGGCATCAAACTCTTCTAGAAACGTGCTCCCCGCTGGGACACGTAAGGAGCAGTAATTTCATCTTTGGGTAGCTGACATTTGCAAAGGCTATGTGGTGGTGTCGGTGGGGGAAGACCCTAAAGAAGTGCAAGTCTTGACCACGAGCGCCACCCAGTGTCCTCCAGGAACAGCGTGCGTACAGAAAACTTCCCAGCTCCGTTTTGTCAGGCTGGTCCTGAAAGACTCACTACCTGGTGGCTGCGCTTTGTCTCAACTTCCAATAAACCCTTTTCTTCAACCCACGTTCTTTCTTTTCCTTCCTGCAGATTCGTGATTTTATTCTTCCAATCCAGGGTTTTGCCTTTTTTGTTTTGGGCGGGAGGAAGGGACGGTGGGGGGGAGTCTCCATTTCTCAGTTTTCATGTGCTATACAGTTATCTCACCAGCTTGGGAAGACACTGAGAGCCACTCTCTTTTCTAGACAGTCTGAGGAAACACTTCCCCCTTTTATCCAAATGCGGGGCCAGGCAGGCTTCTGATCCTTCACTGTTCTAGAGAAGAGGAAAATGGTTGCCACTCTGAATTTGTGTGGTCAATGCGTTAAGGAAGAAATGGGGGAGGGGCTGCCATTTTATTTGTTCACTTGTTTAGATACAGGATTTCATACATCCTAGGCTGGTCTCACACTTGCTATGTGGTGAAGGATGGTGGGGAGTCAGTGGTCTAACTCGGGGCTTCTGCTTGCCCACTCTAAATAGAGGTCAGATAAACTTAACAGTAAATAAAGGTCAGGTAGATTAATATTAATATTATTTTCCCTTTCGGCCTCATCTGAAAAATCTCATTAAATGAGAATAAAGCACCCTTACTCTGGGTGTGAGACTCACTTTAATGCACATAAAAAAATATCTAAATGTTCATTTTTACACAGCATTCAGATGCACACAATTCAAGTAAAAAAGGACCACATAGTATATGCTGGTGTTATTATCCACACTTGATACAAGCAAGGCTGTCTTGGTCTCGAATATATATCAGGAGCACAAGTGACTTTAAAAGTCTTGTTCTTGGCTGATATTTACTTAGTCGAAGTGTTTCAGCCATTGCTTTTTCTTTATTTCCCCGATGAAAATTGCGATCAGGGAAGTTTCCTGTCATGTCTTTACTGATCACGATTCATTGAGGGCATCCTTCTTCGTTTGCTCTTTCAAGACAGGGTTTCTCTGTATAGCCCTGGCTGTCCTGGAACTCACTGTGTAGACCAGGCTGGCCTCAAGCTCAGAGATCCACCTGCTTCTGCCTTCCAAAGTGCTGGTATTAAAGGCCTGCACTATCATCCTCAACCGAGGGCATTTTTTGTTTGTTTGTTTGTTTTTCCATGAATCTCAAACAGGAGACTGGTTCTGTAAAAGAAGATCTGAGGATTTTATTCTCAGCAACACCACATTTGTCTTTGAAATAGAGTACAAGGATTGTTTCATAACCTAGTGAGTCATTAAGGGGAGAGTTGTAAAATGTTCTGTATGAACATGGACGGGGAGGGCAGGATCAGAGCCATGACACAGAAAGGATTGTCACTGGCTTACAAGAAGCCGATCATTGGCCTTGGCAGGGCAGGTGAATGGGCTGTGTCACCGGCCCTGGTCGAAGACGACGTTCAGAGATGACTCTTCTTCTGAGTTAGCAAAACCATTTAGTTTTAGCATAAAAGTTGTGGTGATATGTTTCAGAGGTTTAGCCCACATCAACCTCTTTAGAAGCCTACATGAACTGACAGTGAACTCACCCTGGGAGGGATAGGAGGAGAAAAGAAGGGAGGAGGCAATAGGAAAATGAAAGGCAAAATTCTGTGTGCACAAAAGAATTGCAACACCCTCTTACCTCTGCTGAAATAAAAATATGTTTGGAGTTAGAGATCGCTTCCAACAAAATAACCTCAAAAGGGCTCGATATTAGGTAATTATATAAATAATCTGTATAATAAAATCCCCAGAGGCAAAAACTATTTTCCACTTAATTCTATCCTATTAACATTTTCCATTTATTTCAAATGATAGTGTGTATCATAGAGTTATCTATATTTTGTTTTTATAATTAAGACATGAAAGTGTGTTTATTCATTGAGCTTACACATAACTATTTAGGAGAAGCCATCACGTCTTCTCCAGCCTGCTCGATGGGACGAATCTGGCAGCACAGCTGAAAGCACTTCAAGTTATCCAAGCAGGAAGTCTATGGGCTTCCACTATTATACGTCTCCAAAAGCAAACGGAGGCACAGTCTTTACCCTAAGCTCAGAAGATGATCTTCTTGCAAGCAAAGTTTGGCTGTGATACTATTTATATAACATTGATTTTTTTTAGTGTATATAAATA